TCTCGAGGGTGGCTTCTTTGGGGACATCATACACCACACACACCACGTTGGCCTGCAGGAGGAGAGGCAGAGGGTGCTGAGCAAGGCTCCTGCTGACACCCCCCTGCCCCCCAACCCCCAGGGTGACCCCTCACTGTGCCCCCCAGCACGGGCTGGTGGCCACTGCCCTGCTCCCCTGCCCAGCCAGTGCTGACTGCAGCAGCCAAGAGAGATCACTGGCCCTTTCATGGAGAGAGTTGAGGGCTAATCCCGAGGACACACCAGGGTTTAGGCAGGATTTCCTGGAGCTGTTTTAAGCCCCTGAACACTCCTGCTGTCTGGGTGGAGGGGGCAGGACCCCTGTGCCCACCTCCTTGGCCATCAGCCACCAGAGAGGGGGGAGATTAACTGGCTTTGCTGCCGTGAGAGGAGCAGGGGAGAGAGCGTTTTATTCCCCACCAACAAGAGACCAAGTTCATCCCAGGGCAGAGAGGAGCAGCTGGGCCCACCCCAGATGGCTGGATTATTCTCCTGAGGGACATGGGTGCCCTCACCCTCCCAGGGGCTCCAGCTCCAAGACCATCTCCTCTGGGTCACAGCCCTAAGGGAGGTGTTGCCCAAGCTCAGGGGCTGCTTCTCTCCCTCCTCTGAGTCAGTTGGGAACAATCCCAAAGCTGGGAGAACTTCACCTCCACCTCCTGGTGGGCAGTGAGCTGTGCCCCCACTCTGCTCTCCTGCTGGGGGGCTCCCCAGAGGAGCAGGACAAGGCACAATCCAAGAGCTGACAAGATGGAGCAGGATTAAGGAAACCTCTGAGCAAAGTGAGAGGGTTAATCCAGGGATAACCACCCCCCTGGGCAGGGAACAGGGACAGGGAGCAGCCACATGTCACTGCAGGGCAGCACAAGCTCCTGTCCCCAACCCCCCCAGCCAGCCCTGCTCACCTTGGCAATCTCCTCCTGCAGCTCAACCTCTGTCTGCTCTGACTCTGGGAGGAGAAAAGAACCATCAGTGCCCACCCCTGGGGACCCTCCCCACCCCCCTCAGGCAGGCAGAGCAGGGAGAAGAGAGGCTGGAAGGGAGGGAGGTGGCAAAAAACCCTACCTGAGTAGTCCACGATGTGTGTGGGGACCTTCTCAGGGGTGACATCAGCTGGGATGGTGATCTCCTCTGCACGAGGAGGCACCTGCAAAGCCAGCAGAGCCTGTTCCAGTCCCCAGCTGAGAGGGTGGGTGAGAAGGGACTTCAGCCCCCCACCTGGCTGCTGCCCAGTGCCCTCCCTGCCAGGCTGGGATCAGCTCCAGTCCCTCCAGTGAAACCTCAAAGCCTGGAGGCAGCCAGAGGTTTCACTGCAGGGACACTGATCCATTGGTCTGGAGCTCTTGAGCCAAATCCCAGCAGGAAAAACCAGCTTCTAGACCCACCCAGTGCTGCCCACCCCCAGGCTGGAGATAAACCCCCAGCTCAGCAGCCTGACCTCCTGGCAGCTGGAGGAAGAGTTAAGCTGATTGTCTGGGCTTTGCTCCCAGAGCAGGGGAAGATGTGTGGAGCTGGGCTTCTCCAGGAGCTTCCCAGCACAAACGTTGCTGAGGGAACCATCTGGCACTGCCAGATTGATCTCATTTCCCCATCTGGGACACTGGGCCACCAAGCTGGAGGCTCCAAGGGGCACAGGATGGATGCTGCTCCTCGGGGGGGGGCCCAGCTCAGGGGCAGGCCTGTCTCCAGGCAGGGGGTGCAGCTCAGCTCTGTCACCACAGCCAGGAGGACACAGCTGAGGAGCAAAGCTGGGCCCCACGTCCTGCAGGACACAGAGAACCCCAGGAATGTGGGGGAGCAGGGCCCTGGGAGGCACCCCCACCCTCCCCAGAGCAGCCAGAGCCCCCCAGTCAGGGATCAGATCAACTGGAGGCAACACCAGTTCAGCTGGAGCTCCGTGGGTTTCTCCCAGGCTTAACCTTCCCCAGACCAGCCCTGGGGTTGTCCCCAGGCCCCGGGGAGCTGTGGGCACCCCCAGCTTGGGCCAGAGCTGCCCTGTCCCTGCCTGGCACCCAGGGGGGGTCCCCTGAGGGCTCCCCCTCACGCTCACCTCCTCAGGGAACTCCTCACCCACCAGAGCCATGATCAGGGATGTCTTCTCCACCTGGGCTAGGAAAGAAAAGTCACACTTTGGCACCGGCCCGGGACCGGCGGCAGCCCCACCCGGGGGGCAGCTCGACCCGCGGGGCAACGGGGAACTCGAGATGTCCTTGCCCTGCGGGAAAGGCGCCGGTGAGGCGGGACAGAGCTCCGAGCCGCGGCGGGAAGGCCGGGGCGGGGCTGGAGGGGGAGCCCGGGGAAAGGATCTTCCAGGAACGGGGTTGGAACGGCGGTGGGGACACGGGCCCGGGGGGTGTGAGGGACGCGGGCCCGGGGCCCTCATGGCTGGAACATC